TTTTTTTTTTTTTTTCCCTCTTTCTCTACCTTATCTGTTCTTTCACGCCAACACGGACCTCCACCACACGTATCTTCTTCAGCATTCAATGCATTACATGCCTCTTCTCCAACCTCCGCGACTCCACCACGACACGCCTAGTGTTGTGCCTCACCGGCCTCCTCGCCGACCGCGAGGCCTCGGCGCCGGCTGCTCCCCCGAGCCCTGCCTTTGCATCACCGGCGCCCGATTTACTTCGCCCCGACAGCTCCTTGGGGCTTAGGGCACGGTCCATGTTGCCATCAGTCGTCACCAAGACATGCCACCGTCAACCGGCGCATCCCTGAGACACACCACTGTTGCCTCGCCTCCGCACCGCCTGTGCCTCGTCTACTCTGCCCGATAGCTGCTCGGGGCCACCTCTGCCTCAGCCTCCGCGTCACAGTCAGGCGCACTACTACAGAATATTTATTAGAGGCGGGCGTGTTTTTATTCTTGGAGGCGGGTATTGCAACCGCCTCCGATCAAAGGTCATGGTTAATCCGTGACCTATATAGGCGGTTGCTTTGCCCGTCTCTATAAATCAAACACACACAAAAAAGAAAAACTCGTAGACAGGCCCGTCGAGCCCATCCACGGGCCGTCGCTGACGCCGCCGCTAGCTGCTCGTCGGTGCATGCCAGGATGGGGCTGCCCGTCACCGGATCCGGCCTCCCGCAGCCGGATTGGGCCGCTCGTCATCGCACGCCGCCGTATTCGCCGGATTGACGCCTGATGAAAAGGAGCGCCGCCACCTCGCCCGCGCCAGCCCTCGATCCGCCGCCGGAGGGCGGGCACACCGGCGAGCTCGCAGGATCCGCGAGCCCCGAGGCTGGATCCGACGTGCCACTGCCAGAGGCCCCGCATCCAACGCCGCCGCCACTGCTAGGGTTGAAGAGAAGCGCCGCCGCTACTGCTAGGGTGGGGAAGGAGCGTCGCCACCGCTGCTAGGTGTGGATGCCCCGCGCGCCGCCGCCGCAGGTGGGGGTTGCCCCGCGTGCCACCGCGAGAGGGAGAGGGATGCCAGTGGAGAGGGAGAGGAGTGCGAGGCCGAAGTGAAGAGGGTCAGGGGAGGTAGGCCGGAGTGGGGAGGGAGGCGCGCGGTGTCGGAGAGGGTCGCGCAGGGCCTCGGAGGGAGGCGCGTGGTCTCGGAGGGAGGCGGCGAGAGAGAGAGAGAGAGAGGGGAGTGAAGAAACCCTATAGTGTGCCCGCCTCCAAAAATGGATTTACGGAGGCGGGCATCATAAGACGACCACCTCCCAAAATAGGCTATTTTTGGAGACGGTTGTCTTAAGCCGCCCGACTCCGTAAATCGATTTTCCGAGACGAGCAAAAGTGTCCGCCTCGGTAACTAAAAAATGCACGCCTCCGTTAATCACAGACATTAACCGTGGCGGTTGGATTTTATGACCGCATCCGTTAATAAAAGGGCACCGTCTTACAAAATCATTTGTGTAGTAGTGGTGGCCCCTTCCTCCGCGCCACCGGCGACAGCGCTCGGACTCGCCTCTGTCTCTGCGCCCACACTAGGGGCAATTTTGCCCTAGGCCACCCCGCGGATCTGACGATGGAGCGGGCGAAGCCACATTTTTCAGCTCCTAGATCCACATGCATCTTCTCTCAGCGGGATTTGCGGGACTTCACCTGCGGAGCCACAGTCTGTCAAGGCGTCTGAATTTTTTACATTTTAGCCCTTTTTTGAAAGTTTCTCACAAATAGACCCCTGGCGGAAAGAATTCAGAAAATGGACCCTTAGCTCGGCGCCATTGATGCTAGCGCCGAGCTAGGCGCTAGTCACTCTGGCGCCGAGCTCCTAAGCACGGTGGATGACATGCCAGGGAGCTCGGCGCCTGTCACTCTGGCACCGAGCTCACTGGCATGTCACTGTGCCAAGAAAGCGACCCCAGTTTGCGGTGGTCGCGTCGCCGTGGCCCGTGGTGGCGTCACTAGTCACTCACCAGCACTGCGCCCACGTCGATGCTACCAGCCAAACTGTTGCCACTCGCCGGTCGCCGTTACCTGCTGCGTCGATCATCGGGCTAATGGACCGTCATTGTAAGCTTGTAATCTTATCTGCCTGCCTGTGGTTGTGCGAACGATACCAATACCATACGGCGATATCTATAAAGCGTGACAGTAACCAGTAGATGTCGTTGCAACTTTCAAGTGAAAATGAGATTACGCTAACCTGCTACGCTTGCTAGCGGCACCGGTACCCGTAATTTTCTGCGGCAGCTGTAGACGGCCAGTGCGATGCCAAGACCGGTCCAAAGCGAGCAGCCAGCCGAGCGGGAATTTTCTACCTGGATGGGACGGCCGCGGCGTGAGGCTCGGTTCAACTTTCAAGCTCGACCTCTCGGCTCTCGCCGAAGACCTGGGGGACTAGAGCTCGTCACGAAAGTCTCACGTTCACTCGTTTAGTGACCCCGACAACAGCAAAAGTTAAAGCCAGATGACAATGCTGTGCCTGTGCTGTTGCTGCACTACAGCTCGCGCTGTACGGAGTATGTTTATTGTCACTAGTACTAGTGAGCATACACTTTTTTTTGAGAAATACTAGTGAGCATACTTTTCATTGCCTCTTTTGGTTCCGTTTCACAACATACTCCGTACTACTTGTCACTAGTGAAGCTCAGGGAGACTGTTCTGGCAGGACTACCACTTTTGCCGAGACAATGAGCCCGTTTGCTGATTGATTTCTAGATTGGTAAGCCCGGCTGATGCCGGTTTGTTATGAAAGGAAAACACAGTTGATTTGCTGATAAGCCCTGGCTGAAACAAGTGAACATGCTGAATAAAATCCATCAAGAAAAGTAAGCAGGAGATCGATCGATCAATTGATGGATCAACAAACGAAAATAAAATGTTCGTTGATGGTGTTAAGTCAAGGGTAAAACGTTCATTTCAGATGGATCAACAAACGAAAATAAAATGTTCGTGGATCAACAAGCAAACATGCTGAATATTTTCGTTTGTTGATCCATCGCTTGATCGATCGGTCTCCTGCTTACTTTTCTTGATGGATTTTATTCAGCATGTTCTCTTGTTGTTTCAGCCATGACTTATCAGCCAGTCAAGTGTGTTTTCCTCTCATAACAAATCAGCATCAGCCGGGCTTACCAATCCAGAAACCAACCAGCGAACGGGCTTATTGTCTCGGCAAAAGTGGTAGTCCTGCTAGAACAGTTTCCCTGAGCTTCACTAGTGACAAGTAGCACGGAGTATGCTCTGAAACAGAACCAAAAGAGGCACTGAAAAGTATGCTCACTAGTATTTCTCAAAAAAAAGTGTATGCTCACTAGTACTAGTGACAATAAACATACTCCGTACAGCGCGACCGGCGAGTGGCAACAGTTTGGCTGGTAGCATCGACGTGGGCACAGTGCTGGTGAGTGACTAGTGACTAGTGACTAGTGACGCCACCACGGGACACGGCGACGCGACCATCGCAAAATTGGGGTCGCTTTCTTGGCACATACCAGGGAGCTCGGCGCCAGTCACTCTGGCGCCGAGCTCCCTGGCATGTCATCCACCGTGCTCAGAAGCTCGATGCCAGAGTGACTGGTGCCTAGCTCGGCGCCAGTATCAATGGCGCCGAGCTAAGGGTCCATTTTCTGAATTCTTTTCGTTAGGGGTCTATTTGTGAGAAACTTTTAAAAAAAGGACTAAAATGTAAAAAATTTGCCCAAGGCATTTGGTATAGGGAGCTGAAAAACTACTCCAAGAGTTGTCTCAAAATCCATACCATACGGGCCCCTACATATACACTATATCTGGTACCTAAAACAGAAAAAACTAAAACATCTTATAATTTGCTTTCTCAATTTTAAATTATAAATTATTCTGACTTTTTTTAATTTGTAGTTTTTACTATATATCTAGACAAGCCATATATATTGAGGGTGTGTTTGGTTGCTTGATCTCCATGGATGGGATGAGACCATCCATGGATGGGGTGTGTTTGGTTGGTGGATCATTGGGATAAGAAAATCCATTGATAGAGAATATTCTACTTAGATGTTGAATTTCGTGGTCCGAAAAAATCTGTCGGACCAGCTTATCCAAGTCTTATAATCTTTGTCACTAGTAAATAAATTAAGGATTATTAGTATGCTATTTTAATACTTAGTAATTATGATGGTAGGATTAGTTTTGATAAGTGTTAATATATTGATTAGTGCATGTTCCGTGTGCTAATTAGGATATTTAGTGGTGCTAATTAACATATTTTATTTTAAATTAGTGATTATCATGACAAAAATAGTATTAGTGCATATTTATTAATGTCTAATTAGTTGTTATTATTTTTAAATAATAGATATAATTAGTCAACTATTCTTATCTTATCCACTTTCGTCCATCCAACCAAAAAGAAAAATGGCTCGTCGTATCAACCGACCAAACGTGCGTCATGGATGTTCTTATCCTAATATTCGTGAATCGCCATATTCTATTCTGGAACCAAACGCACCCTGAAAAGCCAAACAACGTACAATTCGGAACCAAAAGAGTAATTTATAATTAGGTCCACAGCTGGTTGGTTGCTCAACTACTCTCAACTCCGGCACCCATGGAGGCCTAACATTTCCTTTCGTGAGTAAACATCAACTTGCTCGATTATTCTTCACGTGCGTATCAAACGCGGTAAACAGGCAACAATAGATACCAGCAATAATATTCACCTGTTCGCTCGATCGTTTCTGTGGCTTATAAGTCAGCTGATGCTATTTTTTTTATGAAAGAAAAATATTATATTATGACTGATAAACATGACTGATACGATGAAGCGAACAAGTTGAAACAGAAAGAAAGAAAAGGAGGGGAAAAAAGGACAGGCAATACAAACTCGCAAAGAAAGACGATACATGCATCTTCACGCGTGGTCACGCGCGAGCTGCGTCGCGCAATCGTGCGTGCAAACCGCGCACAGAACTCGCACCGTACCGGCCGGCACGACGACGACACGCGCGCGCTCGCGCGTCTCACTTGCTGGCGGCATCGTCAGCGGCTGGCTTGTCGTCGCCGTTCTCCTTCTTCTCCTCCTGCTCTTCCTTCTTCGGCCCCGCTTCCTCGTCCTCGTCAGGGAAGGCGGAGGCAGGGAACGAGCGGCCGATCCCGACGCTGGACTTGAAGTAGATCTTGTCGCGCTTCTCGCCGTCGAGGCTCGTCTCGACGACGGGCACCCAGAGCATGACCTGCTTGCTGCGCACCCCGGTCATGCGCTTCATCCGCCCGTCCTCCACGTACGCGGTGACCTCGGCGTCGTAGCGCACCCGCGTGCCCGTGCCGCGGAAGTAGTGCTCGTAGGGGGCCTTCTGCCGCATCCACACGAACCCGGTCTCGCGCACCCACCCGCACTCCTCCAGCTCCCGCAGCGGCATCACGCCGCCGGGGAAGCCCAGCGACTTGAGCATCTCCTTGGAGTGCGCGAAGCAGGCCTCCGCGCCCGTGATGATCTCCGCGCCCTCGCGCTGCGCCTTGTTCTTGTTGCCACCGGCCGCCGCGGTCGCCGTGGACACGGTGAGGGAAGCCATCGCGTACGCGTCGCGCTGCTACTGCTAGCTAGCGGGTGATTTGAGGGACGATGGCTCGATCGCTGGACCGTGCGTGGGCTTTTCTTGCAGGAGTGTGTTTTGCGTGGTGCAAGTGAGTGTTGCGGGAGGGGTGTTTTATAGGGGAAGTACAGGATCGGAGTGAATACAGTGGCTGGTTGGCCGTTGAGCTACAGATACTGGTCAGTCAGATCGTTGGGGGTTGCTCTGTTATTAGCTGACCAACAAAGCGCAAGCTAGCCGACACGACGTTTGGCGCCGAATGGGTGCACCTAAACGCCTTCCACATGGAAGCCGGCTGTGTCGTCCACGACCACGAGGACATGCTCACCGGACCTGATGGTCTCCCCAGGGTTTCTCTTTCGAGTTCGATTCGGCGCGTCATTATTTTCTTTTCTGAAGCTACACAATCACTACAATCCAGTACAACATGACTTCCTGAAGATCAAACGCCGTCTCCTCTACTTTCCTCAGTCCAAAAAAGAATATAATCCTAGGTTTAGACTAAATCAAATTTCTTAAATGGACATATTTATAGAAAAATATTATCAATATTTGTATCTCCAAGTAGATTTATTGTAAAACTATATTCTACAATTAATCTAACAATATGTCCTCAAAAGATGTGGTTATAGCATGGCCCCCGCTTGTCTTATGAGCCGTACTTTTTCAGCGAAGATTTTCTCTTAAAATGCCAAACCAGAACGAATACTTGCGCCCTAGCACCTGTGCTGCTTCGTTACACGCTCGACGCGGCAATAGATATACATCTTTCGAAAACAACAACTGAGTTTCTTTGGACGCTGTCACATTGCTCTGCATCGTACGGGGAGATATCATGACGCCGGCGTCCTAGAGTGCTTTTTGTGCATGTTAAAAGCATCTGAACTGTGCGATGTCCGTAGTGATTTTTCTCGATTTGGTATGTATGTTCATATTTTCTTAAATTTACTATACAATTTAACGATGTTATTTTTTTTTGGTTTAGATGATATGTACGTCGACTGTGCGATGTTCGTAGTGATTTTGTCAATTTCGAGATCTAACGGTTTAGTTTTTCAAAGATGCTCATAAATATATGATTTATATATGTGTATATTTTTAAAAGTGAGTGTACGTGGCTATAGACGTATACATCAGTGTTGTGTAATTTGAAAAATGAAACACCTGATTCAAGGACTATCCTTTGCGCTGTGTTCGGCGGGTACGAAATACTGTTCATGCTAGGATGAAAATACTGTTCATACTGGTATTTTATGAGAGAGAAACACTGCTCCGGCTGAAAAAAAAAGTGAGCCAGCCAGCCGAACTATCCCAGCCGAACACAGCCTTAGATGCCAAGCTGCAGAACTAAATTCAGAGCGTGCCTGCAAGCTTCTGCTACAGCTCCTCAAGAAATTAATAAAAGACGTGTGACTTGTACCTGCCCCAACAACATTTCTAGTGCTATCCCAACATGATGAAACCCTATCCACCATTTCATGATTGAAGGAGCCATAAATACTTTATCAGAAAAGAAAGAGCCATCGATATTATAATTTCCAGCACATCGCTCTCAGGATCTTTGGCAAGCTCCACTTCGTGAAAGTGACGGTTTTCGGAGACCATAAAATTCGTGCCGACTCTATGGCCTATTTGGCTGAGCTCTGTAAACAGCTTCTAGGTTGAATGCAGAATAACTCTACCAAACAATATATTACAGAGAAATGACTTTTTTTCTGATTATGTAAATTGATTCTCTAAAATAAATTAAAAGGTTGAGAACTAAGAAGAGTCTCTTGGATATAATTCCTCGTGTACCTAATTCTATGTGGAAGTTTTTTTTTGAGAAAAGTGATTATGTGTCTCTGAAAGTGATTATATGTGATTTTTCTCGATTTTGTATGTATGTTCATATTTTCTTAAATTTACTATACAATTTAACGATGTTATTTTTTTCGGTTTAGATGATATGTACGTCGACTGTGCGATGTTCATAGTGATTTTGTCAATTTCGAGATCTAACGGTTTAGTTTTTCAAAGATGCTCATAAATATATGATTTATATATGTGTATATTTTTAAAAGTGAGTGTACGTGGCTATAGACGTATACATCAGTGTTGTGTAATTTGAAAAAATGAAACACCTGATTCAAGGACTATCCTTTGCGCTGTGTTCGGCGGGTATGAAAATACTGTTCATGCTAGGATGAAAATACTGTTCATACTGGTATTTTATGAGAGAGAAACACTGCTCCGGCTAAAAAAAAAAGTGAGCCAGCCAGCCGAACTATCCCAGCCGAACACAGCCTTAGATGCCAAGCTGCAGAACTAAATTCAGAGCGTGCCTGCAAGCTTCTGCTACAGCTCCTCAAGAAATTAATAAAAGACGTGTGACTAGTACCTGCCCCAACAACATTTCTAGTGCTATCCCAACATGATGAAACCCTATCCACCATTTCATGATTGAAGGAGCCATAAATACTTTATCAGAAAAGAAAGAGCCATCGATATTATAATTTCCAGCACATCGCTCTCAGGATCTTTGGCAAGCTCCACTTCGTGAAAGTGACGGTTTTCGGAGACCATAAAATTCGTGCCGACTCTATGGCCTATTTGGCTGAGCTCTGTAAACAGCTTCTAGGTTGAATGCAGAATAACTCTACCAAACAATATATTACAGAGAAATGACTTTTTTTTCTGATTATGTAAATTGATTCTCTAAAATAAATTAAAAGGTTGAGAACTAAGAAGAGTCTCTTGGATATAATTCCTCGTGTACCTAATTCTATGTGGAAGTTTTTTTTTTGAGAAAAGTGATTATGTGTCTCTGAAAGTGATTATATGTGATTTTTCTCGATTTTGTATGTATGTTCATATTTTCTTAAATTTACTATACAATTTAACGATGTTATTTTTTTCGGTTTAGATGATATGTACGTCGACTGTGCGATGTTCGTAGTGATTTTGTCAATTTCGAGATCTAACGGTTTAGTTTTTCAAAGATGCTCATAAATATATGATTTATATATGTGTATATTTTTAAAAGTGAGTGTACGTGGCTATAGACGTATACAGCAGTGTTGTGTAATTTGAAAAAATGAAACACCTGATTCAAGGACTATCCTTTGCGCTGTGTTCGGCGGGTACGAAAATACTGTTCATGCTAGGATGAAAATAATGTTCATACTGGTATTTTATGAGAGAGAAACACTGCTCCGGCTAAAAAAAAAAGTGAGCCAGCCAGCCGAACTATCTCAGCCGAACACAGCCTTAGATGCCAAGCTGCAGAACTAAATTCAGAGCGTGCCTGCAAGCTTCTGCTACAGCTCCTCAAGAAATTAATAAAAGACGTGTGACTAGTACCTGCCCCAACAACATTTCTAGTGCTATCCCAACATGATGAAACCCTATCCACCATTTCATGATTGAAGGAGCCATAAATACTTTATCAGAAAAGAAAGAGACATCGATATTATAATTTCCAGCACATCGCTCTCAGGATCTTTGGCAAGCTCCACTTCGTGAAAGTGACGGTTTTCGGAGACCATAAAATTCGTGCCGACTCTATGGCCTATTTGGCTGAGCTCTGTAACAGCTTCTAGGTTGAATGCAGAATAACTCTACCAAACAATATATTACATAGAAATGACTTTTTTCTGATTATGTAAATTGATTCTCTAAAATAAATTAAAAGGTTGAGAACTAAGAAGAGTCTCTTGGATATAATTCCTCGTGTACCTAATTCTATGTGGAAGTTTTTTTTGAGAAAAGTGATTATGTGTCTCTGAAAGTGATTATATGTGATTTTTCTCGATTTGGTATGTATGTTCATATTTTCTTAAATTTACTATACAATTTAACGATGTTATTTTTTCGGTTTAGATGATATGTACGTCGACTGTGCGATGTTCGTAGTGATTTTGTCAATTTCGAGATCTAACGGTTTAGTTTTTCAAAGATGCTCATAAATATATGATTTATATATGTGTATATTTTTAAAAGTGAGTGTACGTGGCTATAGACGTATACATCAGTGTTGTGTAATTTGAAAAATGAAACACCTGATTCAAGGACTATCCTTTGCGCTTGTGTTCAAGTGGTACGAAAATACTGTTTCATGCTAGGATGAAAATACTGTTCATACTGGTATTTTATGAGAGAAAAACACTGCTCCGGCTAAAAAAAAAAGTGAGCCAGCTAGCCGAACTATCCCAGCCGAACACAGCCTTAGATGCCAAGCTGCAGAACTAAATTCAGAGCGTGCCTGCAAGCTTCTGCTACAGCTCCTCAAGAAATTAATAAAAGACGTGTGACTAGTACCTGCCCCAACAATATTTCTAGTGCTATCCCAACATGATGAAACCCTATCCACCATTTCATGATTGAAGGAGCCATAAATACTTTAACAGAAAAGAAAGAGACATCGATATTATAATTTCCAGCACATCGCTCTCAGGATCTTTGGCAAGCTCCACTTCGTGAAAGTGACGGTTTTCGGAGACCATAAAATTCGTGCCGACTCTATGGCCTATTTGGCTGAGCTCTGTAAACAGCTTCTAGGTTGAATGCAGAATAACTCTACCAAACAATATATTACAGAGAAATGATTTTTTTCTGATTATGTAAATTGATTCTCTAAAATAAATTAAAAGGTTGAGAACTAAGAAGAGTCTCTTGGATATAATTCCTCATGTACCTAATTCTATGTGGAAGTTTTTTTTTTGAGAAAAGTGATTATGTGTCTCTGAAAGTGATTATATGTGATTTTTCTCGATTTGGTATGTATGTTCATATTTTCTTAAATTTACTATACAATTTAACGATGTTATTTTTTTCGGTTTAGATGATATGTACGTCGACTGTGCGATGTTCGTAGTGATTTTGTCAATTTCGAGATCTAACGGTTTAGTTTTTCAAAGATGCTCATAAATATATGATTTATATATGTGTATATTTTTAAAAGTGAGTGTACGTGGCTATAGACGTATACATCAGTGTTG